TAATATATGACATAGTCAAACCCTGGGCATCTTTCCCCACTCTCCCCTACTATAACCAACAACCATTTTTTCCCCGCTGCTCAGTCACCATTGGAACCATAAATATCAGCCACCAAGGCAAAAGCGTTCTCTTTTTCGTCTCGAATACAGATGTGGCTGAGAATATCAATACAATAAACATGGAAGATCAGGGAAGCAATTTAACAGTCGGAGGACAAAAGCAGCCCGAGCACCAAATTAGTTCCGCTCTCTCGACCTCGCTCATTCCACCTACTTCAGCTCCCGTTTAAATGCGCCACTCGCCTCTCATAATCCGACAATTGGGCGTAATTGCTGCCGGCCACGTCCTGTGGCGGACCAGGGCCTTCTTTTGGACCCACCTCGCCTGCACCGTCGCTCTCGAATACGACTGTGATGTCACCCGAGTAAGGTGGAGTATGGCTCGCCAGCGGCTCCCCAGCAGTCTGCTCATGACGGCATGGTGAGTCGTCCTGACTCCCAAGAAGTCCAAAGTCGATCCCGTTACGTACGTCACGGGAAGAGGGAGGGGCAGAGTCCATGTCGTGGGAACTGCACAGTGGGTTTCGGTTATGGTAGGACCGATGACGTCATTCAGAGACGTCAAACGACATTCGACACTCTGCGCCTGTGCTATATTTGGAATATTTGGGTAATTTGGACATGGGGTGACCTAAAATGGTTAAAGCCATGTAAAACTAGTTCACATTTTGCTGATACTTGGTCTCCGTACTCGGTCACATTTTTCAACTCGGTCTCGCCTCTAGTCCCTCTTAGCTCTATACTTTAAGCTTCGCAAAACGATATAAATGGTAATGTCCTTCTAACAGTATAGTTATTCTAACGTATAGGCGCTGATCATGATAAGCACTTGGGATATTTAAATTTGGTGGTTTAAAAAGTAATCTAATGGTGAATTCAGCGGTCGTGCCGCCCACCTGAATCCTGGTGCAGTATGTCGGGCGTTTGTTTCTAATCGTTTAACGGATCGGCGATCTGAGCGCACCTGGCTTTTGCCGCGTCCCGTGGCACCGATCGGCAGATTAGGACCCCACGCGGGAAATCAGAGGCCACCAGGAATGATGTCGCGTCGACCGCAATTTGCCGGCAATTATTTCCCACGGGGGACAGCACGGAGCCCGACTGTGTTGGCTTCCTCATTAGCGCTATTAGACAAACTAACAAAGAATGGTGGAAACTGTCTGACCGAGCTCCGGGAATCTGGAAGGCCGTGGAGAACAAAATTACAATGATTTTAAAGTTAGTCTGAATTGTTGTTAGCACTGCTTTCTTACGAATTTTGGATATTAATTATGAGAATACGGTTACTTTACTTAATTATATGTTTGATTTTAAAGTTGACCAGTTTTCGGTACTAGTTAACCAAAACAATACAGCAAGTTCAGTTACATTGAACATCCAATAAAAACATCCATGAATGAAAACTGCAATACTGTTCTGAAGGCTAAACGTCAGCCTTTCTCGATTGCTAAGGTAAATGCGAAAATGTTAAGAGATTAATTTGACATTATTTCTAGGCAGACGCTCAAAAACGATGCAGCACAAAACAGTCACCCAGTTCGGTGCTGCCCAATGTCACAGTCTCACATACGCAGGCACCGAGTTGGGAAATGCACTGCATACACCTTTCCTCGATTTTATTCATTCAGATACCCAATTTTATTTATTCATATATTCTCCCCAGTTCTTACAAACAAATAATAAAAATGATTCGTCTCCCATGAGTTCCAGTGCATAAAATGCATGTTTCAACATCAGTAACTGAGGGCTCGAGGACGGAGCGATTGCATATCGTTTGACTAAATTAGCTATAAATCGCAGGTCACCGGCTAGCAAGGGAGCGTTATGGGTTCAGGATGGAAGGCTATGTCGTCATCCACCTTTGATCTACATCTGCCTGCCTAATATTCGGTTGCAATTGCACCTGGCATCGGCAAGGGGACTGGCAACGGGGCAGGGTCAGGTCAAGTGTTGCATCGCTACGGGATACAGGTTCAGCCGAAGCGGCGCACCAGGCAGTGACCGCATCAGTTGATGTGTTACCCTCATCCTCTCATCCCATGTGGTACCCAAAGGGCACAGACTGCACCATTTGATGCACAAACTGTGCCGCACAGTTAGACCTATCAGCTTTTTTAGCCTTTTCGACCTATAAGCTCCTCTCCTTTCATTGTTTTTTTTTATTAACTGCTCATTTTTCATTTACGTTGTCCATTTTTGTTCGGATTTCGTTTATTTTTAACCCGCGACCTGGTGGGGGGGCTATTTTTTGCCCCCCCCCCCTCCAGACTTTTCGATATATCTCCAGAACCGCTGCGCCGATCGTCACCAAACTTTCAGTACCCTCCCGGACATCAATTTTACACATTGTGACCAAAAAATTTTCCAAAGGCTATGATAGGTTGGCCGGAAATGACGTCAGAGTGACGTCATGTTCTGCCGTTTTCGACCCAAAAAAGGGTTTCGCGGGAAGAGCTGTCAGGCCTATAGCTTTGCAAATACAGAAAAATGATAAAGACATAAAAGCTGTAGATTGGACAGGGCTACAAAACTGTTATCTCGGATTTTTGAAATTTTTGGATTTTGACCCCCAAAAATAAAAAAAATAGATTTTTTGGATATAATAATCGAAAAATCCAAAATGTTTTTTGAATTTCGCAAAAACCGGAATATACGTGATAGTCCTTACCGCCTTCCATCCACATACCAAATTTGAGATGATACCTCTTTTTTTGGCGAAGTTATAGCGAAAAAAACTGTTCAAAATTGATGACGTCAAATTTTCAAACTCAATTTTTAGCAATTCTAGACCCCGTAGCGCAAAACAAAGACCACCATTAGATTCCCCGTGACGAGCTGCATCGAATCAATACCCATTTTATGCAAAACTATCAACTTTAAAATTTGACCTGTTTTGGCCTGACCTTGACCTGACCTTGACCTGAACTTCACCAGAAAGTGACCTAAGCCGTACCTGATAGTCTTATAACCAACATCATTGAGTTGGAAATGAAAAATTGGCCATAAAACATGTTGTTGTGAATTATCTGCGCGGAGGCGCTGGCAATAGTCGACGCGTGAGAAATTTGACATGATTGAATTGCGTGAGTTGGGAAATGTCTGGGAAAAAATGGAGATAGGGATGTGATGACTTGATTTGAATGAAGCGATTGATTAAGCTTTGCTTTAACGTAAAACGCCTAGAACGATGAATTAGAAATGATCACCGCGATCATGAAATCACGACAAATGTAAAATATTGTCTGCGACAGTGCAATGTGACGCAAGCTACCATCTGCCTTACCTACGCAATACATCGGTTTTCTAACATTTCTGGCGACCCTGGCAGGACATGGAACATTATATAGAGATCGCCGTAAGGCAGGGGTTGTCCGGTGCAGAAGCACTGCAGTTTGCTGAGAAGCAAGTAGATAGAGAAGAAAGAAGAGAGGAGCGTGAACGTGAACGTGAACGACAAGAAAAGGAATCCGAAAAAAGGCGACAACATGAACTTGAAATGGAACGAATGAGAATTGAAGCTGACAGGGAAAGCCAGCACAGCAGAAACACCGACGTCAGGTTAGTGGCAAAAAGACCCAGAATGCCGACATTTGAAGACAGCAAGGACGACATGGACAGTTATCTTAGCAGATTCGAAAGGATTGCTGAGATAAATCAGTGGCCTCGCGAAGACTGGGCTGCAAATCTAAGCGCGTTACTTACTGGCCAAGCACTTGACACATACTCACGGCTAAGCAGGGAGGATGCCGATGATTATGATATTCTTAAGACGGCTCTACTGAACAGGTATGGCCTGACAGGCGAAGGGTACCGTAAAAAACTGCGTGACGCGAGACCCGAGCTTAACGAAACTCCAGCGCAGTTTATCACCCGGCTGAACAGCTACGCCACTCGCTGGGTTGACTTAACCGACACCGAGCACTCTTACAATGCCTTGCGAGATCTTTTAATCCTAGAACAGTTTTTTTGAGTGTTGCCCAAAACAATTGGAGGTGTACCTGAAGGAAAAGGGTGTTAATGAGTTGACAGAACTGGCTGAGTATACGCGGACCTATACAGAAGCACACGGACGCTCGTTTCACAGTCTATGCAAAACCACGGCAGCTGCCTCAGCGGCAGACAGAAGTCTGCCGGAGAGACGCGCGAGCCCCTTCGGTTCCGCCACTGCCTTAAGAGCTTCTCGACAGGAGTCACTACCACGCTGTACCTTTTGCGAGTACCCGCACCCCGCAGAAGACTGCCGGAAGGCCAGAAACTGGACCATCGCGGAGAGACGTGACCGGTTAAGACGCGTGGGCGCCTGTTACTGGTGCTTGGAGAACGGACATCGAGCGTCGGAGTGCTCTGCTGGCAAGCCACGGTGCACTAAGTGTAGCGGAAGACATTCTGTGCTCCTATGTGGTGACTCAGCTGGAACCGCTAGCAATGCCGCCACCTCAGCAGCTATTTCTGTAGAACCAGTGGGCACTGAAAGCAATGTCACTGTGACAGCAGCTAGCACGGCTAAGCGGAGCAAAGTCCTGATGCAGACCGCACAGGTGAGGGCAACTGGCGAGCTTAGGGAAAAAACAGTTCGAATCATGCTTGACTCAGGTAGCAACCAAACGTTCATTAGAACGGCAGTAGCTCGCGAGCTTGGATGTCGTGTTCTAAGCAGTGAACATTTGAAAGTTGAAACCTTTGGAGGAAGCAAGACAACACAATGTTTGACCAACAGAGTACAGCTAAGCCTGAGAGCTGAAGCTCAATCGGGCATCGTACTAACCGCCTACGAGGTACCAGAGATATGTGCCGCACCCCCGACCATCGTGACCTCCGACCTAAAAGCGTACCCACACCTTACCGGACTCAAGCTGGCGGAACCACCAGGAGAACACGATAGTCGAGACGTGGATATCCTGATCGGACTAGACTACTTTCAAAACATTGTCGACGGAAGAATGAAGGTTGGTCCAGCAGGGCCGGTAGCAATGGGCTCTATTTTCGGATGGATCCTCGCTGGACGGGTACATTCGGAACACGTGGGTGCGGCCCCAGCTGCAGCAGTCAACTTCATCCGTGCCGAAACAAGAAGTCTGCTTGAGGATCTATGGAGTCTAGAAGGCATTGGAATCGGTTCAGATGGAGTAAGCGGGACAAACAAAGAATCGGAAGAGGATGAACAGGCGCTGAAACACTTCCAAGAAACGTGCACTCGTCTACCTGACGGGCGCTACGAAAACCGATGGCCATGGAAAGAGGGGGGAGCGCAGGGTCTGCCAACCAACGAAAAACACGCTGTAATTCGGCTAGAAGCCTGTGAAGCCGCTTTGAGGAAAACTGGACGCCTGCAGGAGTATGATGATGCCATTCAGAACTATCTGGAGGCCGGCCATGCAGAGCGAGTACCACTGGAGCCAGACGGACCAGTCCATGTGTTGCCGCACCACGCAGTCTACAAGAAGGGAAAAATACGCGTGGTCTTCGACGCCGCCGCTGGTCATCCGAAGGCACTCAACGACTTCATCCGAGCAGGTCCCAATCTTATTGCCGACCTTACGGGTGTGTTACTGAGGTTCCGCTCAAACAACATCGGTCTCACTGCTGACCTAGAGAAAGCCTTCCTGCAGCTGTCACTCCACCCTAGTGATCGTGATGTCACCAGGTTCCTCTGGAGGGAGAAGGCGTGCGACCTCAAGCCGACCACCTACAGGATGAAAAGAGTCCTGTTCGGGGTGAATGCCTCGCCGTTCTTGCTGCAGGCGACGCTAAGGCAGCATCTCACCCATTTTAAGCGCTCCGATCCTGAACTGGTTGACCGACTCATCAGGGACATCTACTGTGATGATTTAATCACTAGCGTTGCTTCAGAGGAAGAAGCACGCTGTGTGAAGGAAAGGACAGTCCAAATATTCAGTGAAGCTCAGATGAATATGACAAAATGGACTACCAGCTTCCAGCCAACTGACCCCCAGGAGCTAGCCAACTGCTCGAACAGCGAACGAAAGGTGCTCGGAGTGAGCTGGGCCCCAACCACAGATCATCTAGTGGTTGAAACTGATCAGCTGGCTCAACTTGGAAGTTGTCTGCCAGAGACAAAGAGGAGCATCCTGAAGATTACGGCGAGATTCTATGACCCACTGGGACTCCTGAATCCTGTGTCGGTGCGAGCTAAGATGATGCTCAAAGCACTCTGGAAGGAGGGCAAGGGATGGGATGAAGCTCTTCCTAGTGCCGTCCAGTGCCAGTGGAGAAAGTGGCTCCGTGAACTCCGCACTTTGGGAAAGTTTTCCATTCCTAGAAACTGTGCGCTGGCCGAGAGACCGTACCAGATTCACGTATTCTGTGATGCAAGTAAAGAAGCCTATGCAGCCGTCCTCTACATCAGAAGTGAGCATTCGGAGCAGTGTGCAAGTACCTACTTGCTCATCAGCAAGTCACGTCTCTCGCCGAGTCAAGAAATCACCATTCCAAGGCTCGAGCTTACGGCAGCTCTGATCGGCGCACGGCTTCTAGCCTACGTGAAAAAACAGCTAACTGTGCCACCCCAGAAAAGCTTCCTATGGACAGACTCCATGGTGGCCCTCAGCTGGATCCGTAGCGACGCGGATAGATGGGGCGTGTACGTGAGGAATCGCGTGCAGGAGGTACAAGAGCTGACCGCCGCAGAGGAATGGGGACACTGCCCCGGAAACGAGAACCCGGCGGACCTGCCCTCCCGAGGTACGTCAGCGGACCGCCTGAACGGTGACCTCTGGTTGCACGGACCAGAGTGGCTCAGACAGCACGAGTCACAATGGCCCCAGAAAAGGGATCATGAGCCCGAACCATCACAGTGTCAGCTGGAAGAAAGGAAGCAAGCTCTGGTGGTACTTAGTGACAGTTCTGGAACGCAGCAGCTCTTTGATCCGGTCGGCTACGGCTCCTTGAAACGTTTACTCAACGTGACAGCTTGGGTACTGAGATGGGTACACAACTGCAGACAAGACGACAGACAAGACAGGAAAACGGGACCACTGGTGACCGAAGAGATAGAAGGCGCGTTGGAATACTGGATCAAAGCTGCGCAATCAAAGTTCCATGAAGACGTGTCAGCGCTGAGAAAGGGACAGCCGCTGTCTCCAAAGTCGCGCCTGCATAGTCTTGGTGCCAGACTAGAGAACGGTATACTGAAGAAAGAGGGTCGTCTCCAAGAGGCCCTTCTGAATGATGAAGAGAAGCACCCCATCATTCTGCCGTCGGATCACCGACTAGTACAGCTGCTCGTTGAAGACACTCATCTGCGGCTGTGCCATGCCGGCGTGCAGCAGGTGCTGAGTGCGCTCAGGGACAGATATTGGATTCTGCGAGGCCGCCAGGTAGTCCGGTCAGTGTTACGAAGCTGTCAGAGGTGCCTGATTTTCCGTGCACAACCTCTTGGCCAAGTGGTAGCACCTCTACCAAGCACCAGGATTCGCCCCTCACAACCCTTTAGTCACATCGGTGTGGACCTTGGAGGACCACTGCTGGTCCGTGGGGGAGCAGGTCATCAAGCTTCAAGGCTGTATTTTGTGGTATTCACGTGTGCGGTTACGCGCGCGCTCCATCTAGAGCTAGTTTCGTCACAGGGGACCGAGGACTTCATCCAGGCTTACCGCAGATTTGCAGCCCGCAGAGGAAAGCCCAGAAGTGTGTTGAGCGACAACGCAAAAAACTTCAAGGGAGCGGCTAAGGTTTTAGCGACTGAGGGCGTGAGCTGGCACTTCATTGTTGAGCGAGCCCCCTGGTGGGGGGGCTTTTGGGAGCGGTTGGTTGGACTAACCAAGGCTGCCCTCCGCAGAACACTTGGCAGTGCCCTTCTCGGTAGGGAAGAGCTCGAGACAGTTCTCTGCCAGATCGAGAGCGCTATCAACCAGCGCCCTCTGACAGCCGTCACTGACGACCCGAGTGACCAGCAGCCGCTCAGACCTGCCGACTTCCTAAGGTGTCCACTGGGAGGAGCAGAGGAAGAGGAGGACGATCTCCGAGGCCGGCGGCGTCACCAGACTAGAGTTGCGGTGCACCTTTGGAGACGCTGGCAGAGAGAATACTTGAGAAATCTGAGAGATTTCCAACACAGACAGCTGATCCGAGAAGCAGCTATCGGTGACTTAGTACTCGTCGAGGGAGAACAGTCCAACCGGTTAACATGGAAGACCGGTGTCATCACAGCGCTACACACTGGCCGAGATGGACGAGTGCGATCGGCGACACTGCGCACCACAGATGGTGACCGACGGCGGCCAGTACAAAGACTTTATTTACTTGAGGGTAGCAGATGCTGAGCGTGCCGCCGGTCACGTGGGGGAGGGTGTTGTGAATTATCTGCGCGGAGGCGCTGGCAATAGTCGACGCGTGAGAAATTTGACATGATTGAATTGCGTGAGTTGGGAAATGTCTGGGAAAAAATGGAGATAGGGATGTGATGACTTGATTTGAATGAAGCGATTGATTAAGCTTTGCTTTAACGTAAAACGCCTAGAACGATGAATTAGAAATGATCACCGCGATCATGAAATCACGACAAATGTAAAATATTGTCTGCGACAGTGCAATGTGACGCAAGCTACCATCTGCCTTACCTACGCAATACATCGGTTTTCTAACACATGTATCACACAACCTTAGTAAAGTTGGGCTCATGTGACCTGACCTGTGACCCTTGGTGACCTGACCTGTGACCTGACCTGGTATTGCCAGCGACCTCTAATAGCAACATATCTACTAGGCAACTGACGCCCTACCGCTGATTCTCGACAAAATGCGTTTTCCTCGGTGTTATAGCGCATTCCCTAGAAGACCCGTGAACGGTGAAACATTTCATCTTTGACCTGACCTGTGACGTCATCGGTGACCCCGAGGTCAATGAAATTTGGTTTCCTTCGACACATTTGACAGGCCTTTCGAACGCCGTTTGAATTTTGCGGATCCGTCCAGTAGTTTCGGAGATACGGGGGGGGGGGGGCAAAAAATAGCCCCCCCCCCCACCAGGTCGCGTTATAAACAGACCCCACCAGGGCGCGGGTTAATTTCTATGTTTCGTTTTTATTATGGTAAATGTTGCATCCAATAACCATTAACATGAGTAACAATGACGTGACATACCTGCAGACAGAGGGTACTCGTACAGTCCACAGCATAAGCATTGTGTGGTTTCAGTCTTGGGTATGTTCTGCTTCTGAAGCTTAGGAATGATTAGCCAGACCACAATGAAACTTTGAATGTAGCTAACCTGTATCGTTACCCTTGCAGCTGCAACTTCGTCTATTGACGTCTTCTTTTCGATCACTGCGCATTAAAAAATCGCCAGTCAAAGCCATCTGTTGAGATTGGTAAAACCACACATTACTTTAGCGGTGGGCTGTACATGACAATGTCTACCGAAAGAATGCCTGCACTGAAATCGGAGCACGAGTAATAGTTTGGACTTTGGACCATTCTATCATTCTGGCTATACTGAGTTTCTGTGACTTTCTCTGACTACAAATTCCGAATTTCCCCTCTTCATTAATGCCATTAAAATTAATGACTATGCTTTGCATTTCCAAAACCAGCAAGCAATTTAGATTTCACCCTTGGGAGAACTAAGAATGAAATGCGAAGCACGTCATGCTAAAATGATGATGATGATGATACTACGTAGTTGACCTTGTTAGTTAGTGTGTATGACAGACGACATTTAGTGCTGAAAACGAGCACATCTTTTTTTTTTAGAAGACAAGATGTGAGTGACCAGCTTGTCTACAATCGAAGTCTTATTTATTATCGATTTCCCTGCAGTTTTTAGTTGTTTTTTTTTTTAGGAGTTTTTACACCCTATACTGCCTCCTATTTGTTTTTTATTTTGATGTTTTATCTAAACCACGTTGAGTGGAATCGAATGCCGTTTGAATTTTGAAAATCAGCCGGTTAGATCTAGAGAGATCAAGGGGGGTCGTAAACAGCCCCCTGCCACCAATAGGGGTAGCCAGGAGCCTGCCACTAATAGGGCTAATCAATGCGACACGTTATATTGGCCGATGACTGCACAATGCACATATACCGAGACAGAACTTTTTAAGTGCGACCTCATTGGTAATGACTAATGGTGTGAAGTGTTTTAGCGAGGAACATAGTGAGAATAAATACGTGAAGAATCATTGACCTTTTCCTCGAAGAAATAAAAACAATGCCAAATATTAAAATATAACTTTTGACGTTGTTTTTACTTCTTCGAGGAAAAGGTCAATGATTCCTCACGTATTTAGTAATGACTAAACATAAATATTGCCATAACATCAGGCAACCGTAGCAGAAATGGCATGATTAGAATGAGTCCTTACCCCTAGTGCCCCCGGCAATTTAACAAATCTCGGGTTTCTCGAGTGTTAACAGTCAGTGCCAAGCAGGTCCCACTCGCAGCCAACATCATCGCAAAGGAATAACCTTTCCCTCCGTTGTGTCTCCCTATCTCCGCCTGCTCCCTCTGCTCCCCAAATAGCTAGCTGGCTCCGTTTGACCACTCTGACCCCACCTGTCCCCATGTGCCGCAGGGTAGACCACTCTCAGACACCAGCGCGGCGACCGACACCATGTCAGTCCGCTCGGCTGACGGCGGCGACGGCGGCGGTGACAGCGCGACCCGCACGCCCTGCCGACCCGCCCGGCGCACCATGGCCATTCGGGACGAATCCGACGCCTGTATCCGAGTCACCCTGACCGACACATCGGACAGTGAGTCGGTCCATCCCGAGTCACCGCTCATGGTGCAGCCGTCGGCCCGTCGCCAGCGACTGGCTCGGGTGGACCTGGTGCGCGGCCGGGGTCGGAGGGGAGCGCCGGGCAGCGGGGCGGCAGCCACCGTCACCGCGACGGACGGAGACGGGGAGCCCTGCGAACGGTGAGCAGTCGAACGGGGATGGGTTTATCCTGAAAGCGTTGTAATGGTCGCACATTTGTATCGCTTCTCCGGTCTCTGAAATGCCTGCAATAGTCGAACGTCTTTTCATATCTGTTCAATAGCTGACCAGTCTATTGAGCTTTTCATGCTGCTGGCTAATTTATTTTCAATTACAAGCACAATAACTGCAAGGACTGCGTAAGACTTCAGTGCCTGTTGCTCACCAAAGCGAAATAAACGATATATAAGGACAGGCTGTCCAATTATCTATTGTTGGGCATCCACCAGCATTTATTAAATTCGTGTCGAACGCTGATTAGGTTGCCAGTACCACCATTCCTTTGTCGCTAAGTTTCATTGGGTATAGGGTCTTTATTGCTTCCAGGAACTGCATGCTGCCCTTTGATCTGTATGAGAAGGTAGCTACAAACGTCTTTTGACATTACTCCCTGACTGGTGAGATAATTTTATCAGCACTATAAGGTTATAACGGGGACCATCAAAGCGTCCAAAACCGCAGCATCCAAAGTACGCAACATCCAAAACCGCAGCGTCCAAAGTACGCAACGTCCAAAATACGTCCAAAATCGGGTATATAGGGAGCATTCACAACGTCCAAAAACTAAACATCCAAAACCGCAACATCCAAAACGTATCATCCAAAAACGCAACATCCAAGGACGCATCATCCAAAGTACGCAACATCCAAAGTACGCAACATCCAAAACCGTTAGGTTAGGTTAGGTTAGGCTAGGTTAGGTTAGGTTAGGTTTCCTTATCCCCGGTAGGCATAAATCAGTAGGTTAGGTTAGGTTAGGTTAGGTTAGGTTAGGTTAGGTTAGGTTAGGTTAGGTTGGGTTTCCTTATCCCCAGTAGGCAAAAATCAGTAGGTTAGGTTAGATTAGGTTTGGTTGGGTTAGGGATAGGCAAAAATCAGTAGGTTAGGTTAGGTTAGGTTAGGTTAGGTTAGGTTAGGTTGGTTTTGGATGTTGCGTGCCTTGGATGTCGTGGTCTTGGACGTTGTGGTTTTGGAGGTTACGTACTTTGGATGTTGCGTCTTTGGATGTTGCGTTTTTTGGATGATACGTTTTTGGACGTTGCGGTTTTGAATGTTTCGGTTTTGGACTTTGTGAATGCCCCCTATAAACCCGATTTTGGACGTATTTTGGACGTTGCGTACTTTGGACGCTGCGGTTTTGGATGTTGCGTACTTTGGGTGCTGCGGTTTTGGACGCTTTGATACGGACCCGGTTATAACATCATTATATGGTCAATGAAGCGCCACCGATTTATATTCGTTTTAATGAACAGCGCAATAATGCGGACGGCACAAGACGAAGCATCCATAGCATCGTTTCAGACACATTGTTCCACTGTTATCTTTCCTTTGTCTTTCTTTAGCTCCTCTCTCTCTCTCTCTCTCTCTCTCTCTCTCTCTCTCTCTCTCTCTCTCTCTCTCTCTCTCTCTCTCTCTCTCTCTCTCTCTCTCTCTCTCTCTCTCTCTCTCTCTCTCTCTCTCTCTCTCTCTCTCTCTCTCTCTCTCTCTCTCTCTCTCTCTCTCTCTCTCTCTCTCTCTCTCTCTCTCTCTCTCTCTCTCTCTCTCTCTCTCTCTCTCTCTCTCTCTCTCTCTCTCTCTCTCTCTCTCTCTCTCTCTCTCTCTCTCTCTCTCTCTCTCTCTCTCTCTCTCTCTCTCTCTCTCTCTCTCTCTCTCTCTCTCTCTCTCTCTCTCTCTCTCTCTCTCTCTCTCTCTCCGTCTATCCAGCCGGAGTGTTCTAAAACAAAACCCAGTGACGTCAGGGGTCAGAGCACAGTGCAGCAGCTGGCCGTTACGCCAATTAGTTTCAGCTGGCTGTGCCGCCACGAAGCGATGGCCGACATGCACGGCACCCAGTATTCGTGGGCGGATGGCCGCAGCCGTGATTCGACGTGATTGCCGATTCGCCTGACCCGTGCACTATTGAATTTTGGAACTGCACTGCCGTTAGATACATTTATGCGGCTACCCAGTGTAAAAAAAGTGTGCATAACACTGAGGTGCCCGTATTTACCCTTGCCATTATACGTATAGTTAAATATTGCATCGTCAGCATGCTCGTACCTCAGTGGCTATTAAAAAAAAACAGCACACATGTACATACGTACGTACTCTCCTAAAATTGGTACTACACATTGGCTATCCTGAGGATGGGAACGATGGAATAGAGGGAGGGGAATGGTGCCACTCCCCTGATGTTTTTTCTCGCGATTGCGCCCGGGACGACTGACGTCGACGGCGACGAGTTAGCGATGGAAAGCTGCAAATTGACATCCCGAATCCCGATTCCCGACCTTTGATTCAAGCCAGAGCCGAAACTGTGGCACCAACCGCATTTAAAACTCCGGCCAGGTCACTACCTATGCCATCATAAGTGAACCGCTGCACAATGATAACAAAATTGACGTTCATGACATAATGATTCACCTAAATCTGCCTGGCGTCGCGGCCAGCCAGCACTCAGCATCAAGAGCCGATTCTCAACATGGTGCTGCCACCTACAAAGAGATCTAGTGCACTAAAGGTTTCCGACTTCCCCGTTAGGTAGACATAGTCGAGGGAGCTGCAGCGAAAGCACGAGTACGGTTTCGCCTGGCCCTTCATTCAGGCTTTCTACCATAAATCATGATCAATGATGAGCAATAAATCGTTTCATAATGGAATGACTTAGGCATAAGACTACCAGAAATCAAATGAATGATGTTCCTAAGCATAGGCGGCGGAACGGGGAGGCGGAGGGCACCGGGGCACCGTGCCCCCTTTTGATTTTGGCATTTTAACATTAGCCCTATGGGTGTTGCATGGAAAGAATGGGACCAAAAGTCGTCATGCACCCCCTTAATTGAAGGTGTTCCGCCGCTTCTGTTCCTTAAGTGTTATGTGTAAGAGCAAATCGACGGACACGAATACAAAATTGTCGTTCGTGACCTAACGGTGCCGACTGGCGACTGCCGACGACGATAGATACCTGCAAACACGCGCGTGAGGGACTCGAGCAGATTCACTGCTGAAGTGGCCTGCAGCCTCCATTTGTGACCTGCAGCCAGCGAGACTGCAGCCTCCATTCGTGGGCATTGCACAATGCACACAGTCTTTGGCCAAACACAGTATCTGATCAAACATTTCATACCCCATAAACTGGTCAGTGGTCACGAGCCATCTCCTGCCATCGTCCCTATTCATATTCCCTGATCTATATCGACACTCTGACTTCAATCTGGTCGCAGTGTAACATGTCACTACTGACAATCACTGGCTACAGAAACTCTCTGAGCATCAATCACGGGTATTAAACACTATTATGGTCACGATATCGGGTATGATTTATAAGCGGCGGGCATAACGCTTCTGACCACAGAAAAATGACACACAACCTGAACCACCATCGTAGTTTCCAACCACCGGCACAGTTTCTGTACACCGATATTTTGCTTTTTCCAATGGTCATAATCTTTGGTCATGATCATGATATTTCTCTTATCACCAGCATAGTCTCAAGCTACCAGCACCGTCTAACCACAGACAGAAGTCTAGCCACCGACCGTATACTCGATAGTAGCCGTTTTCACGACGGCCATCTGGTACACATTTGGTTCACATCTGGTGCAGATTAGGTGCAGATTTGGTTAAATTAAGTTCAGTGTATCTCTTGGTAGCTTTCAGCTAGGGTTGCACTAATTGCTTATATGCCTGCTTTGTCATATTATCAGAGAGCACCATCGATTAAAAAACTGAAATAAATGCATAAAATTAAGATATTTGCTGTAACAGAGATTAGGTGCAGATTTGGTCAAATTAGGTGCACTCGCCGGATAGCCCGTTGTGAAAACGGCTAGTATTATCCACGGTAACTATAAATAGTATTACCTAACCGCCGACATATTTGACCACCAACAGTAGTCTCTAACCACTGACAGTTGCGACCTTTCTCTATGTATGCTGCGGCTACCATCTGAGTAGCGGCGCGCTCTAGCTGACCGATTGCCCGTACAGACGGCGACAGATGCCTGCACCGCGAATTGCATGAATATTTCGCTGACTGACAAGGTCGCTGCTGAGATTGGGGCGCATAATTTAGGCGAGGAGCTGTTAAATATTCAGTACGTTGCTAGCATCAATACTGCCGAGAAAGGACCCAGGATTGGCAGTGAAACACGTTTTCTCCGCAGGGTAGCGCAAGGTTACTTTGGGTAGGCCACGTCTTGGAAGAAAATTGACCTTTTAGAAGAAATATTAGATGAAAAACATATCGATGCGTCCATAAGTAAATTACAAACGTTCACGTCCGATGGCCCGTCGGAATTGGGAAAGGGAACCATTCTTCTCATGTTTTACTAAAAGTGCCTTTCAGACCTAAGGTGGAGAAGCAAATGTTCAAAGAAAGTGCAGGACATGTCGCTTCGATAATGCATACCGATTAATACGTTTGGTATTTGGTCTGTTACACACTCTGGACAATATCCAATCAACGAAGGCCAGTCACCATGCAGGCTTTCTTCAACGTTTACTGAACCGTTTCCACTAAGTGCTACTTGACCCACTATTTTTGGATTGGGTGTCCTGTAATGTATGAAGCCCCCATGGCCTCATGCCACCGCGCCGTTTCACTTTCCTCAATGGCAGCCGCCTGTCTTTGTCGGTAGCGCCTCATGACGCCGCTGTCCCCGTTCCCACGGCGCTGAAAAGGCTCCCGAACACCCCATACGGGAGGACCAGCCGGGCGATCGACCCGCCCGCGCCCCAACTTATGCAGGCTGACCATCGTCCCTCAGCGGTGTACCTACTGTGTTGGGCGTCCAATTGTATGATTCGCGCCGTCTAAACTCCAGCCTTGACATGACCTCACATGGTGACCCAAATGGGTCATCCCTTGGGCTACCAAATTGGGTCGAAGAAGACTGATTATTTTCATTTTTCCAACCGAGCGTCGTGCAATGATCGCAACGACGGCGGGTTGGCCAACGTTCCCG